AAGGACCAGGCTATGTGTTGCTTCCTCCAGAAACCTTCCCAGCCCGGGCCGAGCAGTGTGCCCTTCCCCCTTGTCTATGACGGCTGGAACACACCACCTTGAGCTCTAGCTAACTCTGAGCTGGTCTCGAGCCCAGCCAAGCCTCCAGCCCCCAAGTCTGGAGCTCTTAGAGGGCTTCGTCAGAGTAGGTCTTCAATAAATACCAAATAAACAAATGAACGGATGGGGCTGCTCCATTCTCCTCCTCCAGGAAGCCCTCTCAGACCACATGGCTCAGCAATTCCAATCACCACCCAGGCCTCCCACACTCCGTCATGAGTAACACACGTCACAGCGAGGTCAGGCCTGGGACGACCCGGGTTCCAGTCTGGGCTCTGCCACGTGGCTTCTTCATCTGTGATTAGGAGCTGTTATAATCACACCTGCTTTGCTGCCTCCCAGGTGAGCAGCAAGTGGGATGCCGTTGGCGGGAATTTATTCCAAACACTAAACTGCCGTGCACCCGGGAGGGCCCTTTATTATTATGTAGACACGTGTCTGCCTGGAGCCGGTTCCCTCTAGGTGCGTGAGCAGCCTGCCTTCCTACCCCCGGAGATGCGAGGTGCGGAAGCCAGCACCCTGGCTTTATCCATTCTGAGTTTAAAGGGCTGGTGCTCGAGGGATTCCCCAAGGACTAGGCAGGACCAGGCTCAGAGCTTCGCTTTTTTCTACGACCTTTCTCGGGCACCAGGCTTTGCCCCTGATTCCTGGGTGCGTTTGGACAAGTTTCTTCTCTCTCTGGGTCTCAGTTTCCTTACCTGGAGGAGTTGGGTTGAAGCTCAGATTTTCACTCTTTTTTTTTAAAGCCACAGAACTAATAAAATCTCATGTCCAAAGAAAGTCTTACGCCCGAGCTTTATATGTGAAATAAATATATAAAATCAGGGTGGCTTTCTGAGCCCCGAGACCTGACCTTCCTTCCCAGACTCAGAAGCCTGAGGTCCGTGTGCAGATCCCTAAGGGGTCCTCAGTGTGCAGTGACCCCCAGGTTAGAGGCTGCCAGCTGTCAGTCCAGCTCCAGCACCAGGCCTTTGCCACCCCTGCTGAAGTTCGATTAGAAGGAGCACACGCAGGTGGAGGCAGGAAATAGACGTCGGAGGCGTGTCCTGGTCCTCACAGGAGGGGCCGTGTATTGGGGTCTTTCTGCCTATGTCCCTACCCGACTGTGAACTCTTTCTGGAGACTGCAGGGGAGACTCTGGCTGCCTTACGTCTCTGTGCCCAGTGCTCAGCCCACTGTCTGGTACACAAAAGGGGCTCCATAAATGCTTGCAGGATAGAATAAATAAATGAATAATGAATGAGGATGAGGCTGAGCAAGAATGGAAAGCAACAACCTTGCTTCAGGGTTCAGGAACAGCTCTGTGCTGTCTGGAGGAACGCGGGCTAAATGGCCCTGACCTCTCCCGGGCCTCCCACTCTCCTCCCAGATACACACGGGAACTCGCAGCCTGTGCTCTTCCTCCAGGGCCTGTATTTCTCCCATAGGAGCCCCGACCCGAGAGAAGGAGCCAGAAGGAGGCAGAGAGACCTAGATTGCAAATCTGAAGAGGAGGAAGGTGGCGGAAAAGGAGAGGGAGGGAGCTTTCAGGAAGTCACTGCAGAGCCAGACAGGGCAGGTAATGGGCCCCTTGGGCGAAGGGCCAGCGGCTTCCCTGCCATCCAGAAATCTTTTGGTTCCAATGGCCTGTTCTTACCCCACAGTTCTCCTCTGTGTACACCCACTGCCCAGAGTAATGCTGAAAAAATGAGACAGGGACCAAAATATCCCCCTGCCTGCAGAAAAGGGACAGAGGAACATTCTAAAACTTCATCCACTCCCCCCACCCCCACCCCAGGGGCTGAGCCAAGCTTTGCCACCCTCGGTTCTTGCCTTCCTTGCTGGGGTCCCGAGGGGTGTCCAGGGATGATGACTTCAGCTTCTCTGGGCAGCCCTTCCTGACTTGAGGAGTCTGGTGCAATTTGGAGAGCTCCAGGAAGGAGCAGACGCAGGGCTGCCCCCCGGCATGCTTCCACTTCAACCCTCACCCTTCCCCATTCACCCCTGCCCACAGGGGAGAGGCCCCAGGTGAGGGGCTAGTGCAGAAACCCAGGAAGGGGCTTTGAAAGGACAGAAGTAGTACCAAGAGGTAAAGGGGGAGTGGGAGTGAGGACCAGGCACTGGGGGTCTTTATACCTACTGTGGCATTATCTTGACCCCAGAGTCACATGCAGAATAGGAGCTTTGCACTGGGCATTGTTAAGGCGCCTAAACCTGGTACTTGTGGTACCTTTAGTGTCACTGGCTATACAGAGCAGATTTCATAACTTTTCACTCTCCTTCCCCCCACCAACCCCCACGCCTGGGGCTGCTTACTAACCTTTTTTTTTGTAGAGACAGGGTCTTCCTATGTTGCCCAGGCTGGTCTTGAACTCCTGGCCTCTCCTACTCGCCTTTTGGATAAAATATCTGTGCTAGATTCTCTATAAGTCAGCTCATTACATTCTTACAGCTATCATACGAGGTGGTAGGTATTCCTATGCCCATTTTACCGATGAGGAAACCAAGGCTCAGCTTTGGAGGCAGGGCAAAGCTTGGAGGGTCGCATGGCTGCAGTGTATGAGGGGATCCTGGTATGGGAAGGGTCATCTAGTTAGGGGCTTCTGGACACACTGTGAAAGCCAGAGAGTTTTTGGCTCAGGGTAAATTCCAGACACCCTGGCTCTACCCATTCTACCTACACCTTCCCACATTGTCCTCTCCCCACCACAGACCTCAGACCTCCCTCTCCCTCTGCTTCCCTCCACCACGAACCTCCCCTCCTCTCAGCCCTGGGATCTGCCCTGCATGGGGAGCTGGGGCTGAGAAGTTTCCAGATGGGAAGACCTAGCTCCATGTCCATCTCTCCCCCCTCGGAATGGACTTACCAGCTGTTGGAGCAGGAAGGGACGACAGACATCAGTTGACAGATGGGTAAACTGAGGCTGGGAGAGGAAAAGTGACTTGCCTGAGACCACACAGCCTGCGAGTGGCAGAGTAGGGCCTAGAAGGCAGCTTCCAGCTCTTCTGACACTCAGTCAAGTGCTCTTCTCGCCACACCAAATGCCCGCTGCGCAGGAGGGCTCAGCGCGGACCCCTCCCCGGCTCCTGCCCCTGCAGAAGAGGCCTCTGAAAAGCAGCTCTCTGGGCTGGACCTGCCTTGGCCAGTTTTGTTCTCACATAGACCTGTCTAATCCCTCAGGAGGCCTGGCCTGGGAACAGGCAGGGGTGGAAGGAGGGAGGAGAGAAGGGAAGAAGGTTTTGGCTTATTTTGCCCAGAGCTGAGGAGGAAATTACCTACAGACATTATGCAAATGCATGTAGTAACACGTGAGCAACCCATGGTAGGAACTGGGGGTGGCAGCGTGTGTGTGTGTGTGTGTGTGTGTGTGTGTGTGTGTGCGCGCGCGCGCGGCCAAAGATGCTACTGAGGGTTAGGGAGCGTGACCCTGATCACCTGCCCCGTGCCCCAAGCTGGGCTTGACTGGGTCTTTGCAGGTTGCCCTGGCAGCTGGAAGAGCGACAGTTGGGAAGCTGAGAGAAAACTGAGAGAAAGGCCCGAGCCGAAATGGCTATCAAGGGCAGGGCTGCAGGGCCCGGGACGGACGCAAAGTCCTGCATGTCTGGGTGGCACGGGGATGGGCGTGTTGACAAGACAGCAGGGAAATGTTGTGAAAGAGGAGGAAGGAGAGTTTACACTTCCCAGTTTCTCCAACTGGCTCTAGGGAAGAATTGAAATTTTGTTTGCTCCCCTTGAAGGCAGAAACGGAAGTTCTCTTTCCCCACGTTGGGCCTCCTCCTCTTCTGTGGGGGACTCACTGGCCCTTACCGCCCTCCTCCCAGCCACTCAGCTTCTGGCCCCACCCGCTCCCCACCATGATTCAGCGCAGACCCCAGCAGAAGCAGTTTGTTCACCCTCCTCTGGGCAGAGCCCCTCTCTTGAGCTCCAAAGTGGGGGCAGTGCCCCCCGGAGGCCTAACCGTGGTTAGGTGGCACTGGGGTCCCCCAGTCTGACTCTCTTTGCTCTCCCGGGGCCCTTTCCCAATATCCATGAACAAGAATTCTCAGTTTGGGATCTCTGCCAGGCACCCGTTTGTTTCGAGGGTCTGCCCCGGGGGGCCTTAGTCAATGCGGGTGGGCTACCTAACCCGAAACTGCCAGGAGGGGGCTGAGAAAGGGCTCTGGGAACAATGGAGAGTTGGGAGCCCGGGTTTCTTATTCTGTTAGGATTTGCCCTGAGAAAAGCTAGAAAAAGCTAGAAGTCCCTTCCTTCATAAGTCCCTTCCTTCCCTGAGTCTGCTTACCTATCTGTGACACAAGGGTCTTGGACTAGACACCTTAGGGCACAGGACGTGCTATGAAGAGGGGGAGGGAGGGAAGGAAGAAGAGGAGCGCGGAGCAAAGACACCGACAGAGATCCTGCGAAGCTGGTCACTTCCCCCAGCCTCAGCATCCTCATCTGCGAAATGGAAATTGCTAATAGACTAAAAGGCAGCTCTGAAAGATGGATGAGAAAGGAAGGTAATGACTCAGGCCAGAGCCTGCAAAGTGATGTTCGGAGACTATGCGGAGACTGGTTTCACGGAGAGAGCAGGGCTTCGGGGTTGGGGGAGGGCGCCAGGGCTACCATCTCACGCTGCGGGAGGTCTGAGGGTGGGCGTTCTGGACCCCTGCAGGGGAGACCCTGTGCTATGACACGTGAGGGGTCGCTGAAGGCCAGACCAGGGCTTCTGGGCATCCCGCATTTTGAAGGGAGAGAGTGGACACAGGGAGGTGGCGCCTCTGTCCAGCCCTGAGGCTGGGTGCACACACCAGCTCACATTTTTTCTAGCTTTTCTCACCCAGTATCACTTCCTTTGTTTAGAGGAGGGGATGGGGGAGGAGACGGAGGATGAGGAGGGAGGGGCCCGCGGGTGCTGCCGCCGCCCCCGCCCCCTCCCGGTGTGCGGAGCCCGATTGTCACTCTGCTCCCGCGCCGCGCCGGGGGCGACGGAGGCGCCGGTGCCCGAGTCGTGTCCCAGCCAGCTACCCTCCCCCTGGACCTAACAGGCGGACCTTGGCTTCTCCAGGCATCCCCGGAGCCAGCGGCTGCTGAACGCGTCGAGGTGTGGGGGCACTGGGACAGAACAGCTCAGGTGGCTGGGAGCTCTGCCAGCTTTGGTGACCTTGGGTAGGTCTGAGCCTCGGTTTGCCCTTAAGGCTCCCGGTGGGGGTGCAGGAGAGAGCTGAAAGAAGCGACTGTAATGCCCCCTTGGGGCCGGCCACCGGCAAGGGTCCCTGACAGAGCTGGAGCGGGACCAGGGGATGGCTAAGAGCCAGGCACCCGCGACATCTCCAGCGGGTGGGCGCCGGGCAGGTGTGCGCGCACGCTGGGGAATCGGGAGCCCGCGCCCTGGCCTGATCCTGAGCTCAGTCCCCCACACCCGCCTCTGCCGCCCCAGTCCCAGGTGTGGAACAGGGCGCTACCTCTTTAAAAGCGGCCGGGCAGAGCCTCTGCCGCACCATGTGATTGCTTGAAAGGCCGGGCTGGGCGCGCTGCGGCGGGAGCCTGGGGGACTAGGAGCTGCCGCCTGGTGCCCAGAGCCCAGCCCAGCCCGGCGGACGCGGCCGGGGCTCTGGGCGGCACCAGGTCCCGGGAAGTTTGGGCACTGGCTCTAGGACCCCCTGCCGGCCAGCGGGCGGGATGGTGAGCGCCCCGCATCCTGTTCTCAGGGCAGGGGTGGGCAGAGGTGGGCAGGGGAGACCCCTGTGTGGTGTGTGTGTGCTGGGAGCTGCCTCGCACCTGATAAAAGCCAGTGGAAGACTGCTGCTATTTTAAGTTGCTGAATGGAACCTCTGGGGATGATAAGGGGAGGGACAAAGATTAGGCAGGGAAAGGGCTGGGGACCCCTGCCAGCCTGGGCAGGCGCTGGATGTGCCAAGTGGGGCACATCTCCACAGGGCGCGGGAGTTCCAGCCTCCCACGCAGGCCTCCCCATCCCAGTCTTCCTGACCACAGGTGCCTGCGGCGTGCCCCTTGGCACCTCTCCGCTGATGTGCCCAGCCTGTGCCCGCCATGCCGCCCTCCATCTCGGCCTTCCAGGCCGCCTACATCAGCATCGAGGTGCTCATTGCCCTGGTCTCCGTGCCTGGGAACGTGCTGGTGATCTGGGCGGTGAAGGTGAACCAGGCACTGCGGGATGCCACCTTCTGCTTCATCGTGTCACTGGCGGTGGCTGATGTGGCAGTGGGTGCCCTAGTCATCCCACTTGCCATCCTCATCAACGTTGGGCCGCAGACCTACTTCCACACCTGCCTCATGGTCGCCTGCCCAGTCCTCATCCTCACCCAGAGCTCCATCCTGGCCCTGCTGGCCATTGCCGTGGACCGCTACCTCCGTGTCAAGATCCCTCTCCGGTGAGTCCACAGCAGCCGGAGATACTCACAGCACCCCAAGCGGACTGGCTTGAGGGCCATTTAGAAAGGATAAAAGTAGAGCATAAGACCCTAGTGAGCCAGGGCTTCTCTGGGCCACTGTGCCTCAGTCCTCCCTCTGCCTTCCTGTCCTCTGCTCTGCAGTGGCAGAGAAGCAGGAGGCGGCTGGGTGGCTGGAGGAACATGAACCTGGCAGTGCCCAGGACTCCAGAGCTGAAGCTGCTGCAGACAGGGCATCCCCGGCTGCCTGTCGGGCCTAGGGTCGAGGTGGGGGGTTTGGAGAGGCCACCAGGATGGGGTCACAGTGAGCTCTGGGTGGGAATGAGCTGGCCTCCTCTAGTCCCCGGGAAGAAGAAGGGTCAGAGCAGAGAGCTAGGGCCGGGGTGAGGATGTACTGAGGGTGTCACGCCAGGGCCAGGAGTGCTGCTTCTGCAACCAGCCCCATGCAGCTTCCCAAAGGCACTCTTTAGCTCTCTTGTTCTCCAGGTTTCTCTGTGCCAGCCAGCTGCAGCCTCTGGGGTTGTCCTGCTGAACCCAATGGTCTGATTACCTCTGCCCAACTCCCACTTAGGGGATCTCTGTTGCAGGCAGGAGGAGGGAAAAACGCTGGCGCCTGCTCTTAATGTTCCTGTTCTGTTGCAAACCTGTGTGTGTCTTTGCTGTTCGCAGTAGAGGTGCTTGCGCTGCTTCCAGGCAGCACTGGGGTGGATGGTCTGGTGTGCAGTCCTCCGCGTGGGCGTCCAGTCCATGCTGGGGCTCCCTGCCCAGACCTGCCAGACCATAATATCATCACCAGGCAGTGCCTGGGCCACCAAGTGCCAATGAGTGCCTGGGCATACTGCCAGGGACTGGCCCTACTGGGCCACTTTTGTGAGGCATGCTTGCCCCCTCTTTAAATTCTTGTCACCAGTGAGTCCTTTCTTACTGGGGAACTCTGGGACATCTCCCGCACCTGCCGTCCCCAGCGTAGCTTCCTTGTCTGGGATGTAGGGCCTCTGGCTTCACTTGGCCCCTTGCCTAGGACAGGCCTAGGCATCCACGTTTCTCCCTTTGTGTTACATTTGTGCATATTTAACTTTCCAAAGTCTTTTTTTTGATGCACATTTTTTCCTGTTGTTATCGTGCCCCTGTAAGGGAGGTGGAGCAGGAGCCGCAAGGGGGAAACGGGTTCGGCGGGTCTCCTGAAGCTGGTTGGGGTCAAAGCCTTCATCCAGTTTTCGGCCTTCCTTTCGAACTCCCCGATTCCCAGCACCTTGACGCTGGGCTCTCTGCCCTGTCCACCTCCCTCACAACCCGCAGGCTTCCCAGCGAAGTGGGGCCGGGAAGGGAATGCAGCCAGAAGTCCCCAAGCTCAGCCACTGAGGGGCCTGCGTGCTGCCTGTAGCCCAGGTTGTGGCTGGGCCGTGCAGATAACGCTGCTCTCAACCCAGGAGAAGGGCGGGGCCTCCGAGCCGGACCATTTCAACCAAGTGTGGCCACATTTGGAAACTCACCCAGACGTGTGGTGTAGGAAGGCTGCTCCAGTTCTGTCTGCTGACTGGGTGCCGAGGTGAGCCAAAGGCCCCATCCCGCTGTGACAGAGGTCATGGCCACAGAATGTGCCCTGCTTGCCCTGGAGGGCTGGGGCTGGGGCTGGCTGCGCTGTGGGAACTGCAGGCTTATTCCTGTAGGAGGCAGCTGCCGTTGCCTTGGAGCTGGGGTCTTGAGGAGCTGTCCTCTGAGGACCGAGGCCAGGGCCTGCACAGAGGCTCCCGCAGGCCTGGGTTCAAATCCTTGCTTTGAACTTCTAGCCGTGTGACCTGGGGAAAGTCACTGAGTTAACCTCTTTGAGCTTTAATTTCCTCATGTATGAAACGGGATATTAATAGAGGTGTCTACTTCCTATTGGAAGAACATAAGGGATTTACGCACACAAAGTGCTTAGTATTACGCCTAACGTATTATATGCAAGCTGTGAGTGGTAGGTCTCTCTTTGTGGTTTTATTATCATTGTTAACATTTTTCTCCAAGTGGGCCTGGGTGGGCCAGCCTTCCCCCCTCCCCACGCTGGTGCTGTTATATAGCAACACACACACACACACACACACACACACACACACACACACACATTTCCAAGCAGGTGTCAGAGCACTGTTAAGTTACATCTACACATGTTTCTTCTCCTCTGGTGGATTGTCGATGCCCCAAGGGCAGTGACCTAGGCAGTGACCACATCTTGTCTGTTTCTGCAAATTCTCCAGAATGCACAGCTCAGTGTCTGGCACGTTGCAGATACGCAGTAAATGCTGATTGAATTGGCCAAATTTCCAGAGCACACACAGTTGAGCCTCAGGCAGGCCTCCCAGATGTCTAACCTCTAACCTTCTTCCTGCAGACTAGACCTGTCCGCCTTCTACCTCAGGGTGCTGGCCATAGCTGCCCCCACCCGCTCAGCACGCCTCCTTCACAGCCACCAGCAGCAGTGCCTGGGAGGGGAGCCCAGGAGAGGAGCCCTTCTCCTGAGTTAGGGAAGGGCTGCCGGGCCTAGGTCCTCCAGCACGGATCCTGGCTGAGGTGTTGGGCCCCTCTGGGCCCTGTCTGTCACTGCCCGGGGCTCCCTGCAGGATGAACAGCGCCTCTGCTCCCCTCTGGGCGGCTGGAGTCAGCAGGCTGCTGGGTCTGTCCGAGGTCTCAGCCAGAGGTCCCCAGGTGCGGCTCGCTGTCCTGACACACCAGTCCAAGGTAGACGCGGCCCTGGGTACTGCGGAGGCGTGCTGACCGGGCATCGGTGAGGCATGTCTGGGGCATCTGGATGCAGGAGTCAGCTGGCCCCTCACTGAGCGAGGCACAGTTTGATCAGTCAAGCACAAATTTTATGTCTTTCCACTTGGCAGAAAGCCAAGAGAGAAAAGAGAGTCACATCATACAGTGTGATCCAGTTACAAATTTTTTTTAAAAAGCCCAAATTGTTGATTCATCAATAACCTGTGGTCATTTACATGTAGTTTGCATGTTTTTGCATGACACCTCCACGTGCTTGGTAATTGATACCCTATTCCCCTCAGCTCCTAGTTCTAGGGAATCTCCACCACCCCCTCACCCAAGGCTTTCTTGGTGGCACTCCGTGGTAATTTGGTGCCTATTCCGGGGGCTAGTTGCAGGAAGGAGGGCTAACGGGGGGCTCCCTGACCAAAGCCCTCCGTGGGAAGGAGACCCTAGCAAGGGGGCTGTCTATGGCCAGATGGGTTGGAATGGAGGAAGGGGCAGTGGGTGTTTGCGCGTCAGATGGACCTGAGTTTGAACCTTGCTCTGTTACTAAATAGCTCTGCAACCTTAGACAATTTTTTCAACCTCTCTGAGCCTTTGCTCCCTGCCGTCTGTTAAATGAAGGGGTTGGATTTGAGGTCTCTGAGGTTCCTGTTGGCTCTAACTCTCTGTGGTTCTTCCTTATCCTGACTCTTGCCAGGGCTGTGTCGGGATCCTGGGCAGCTCTTACTGCGTTGTGTTTTTTAGCTCCTGGCGAGTGTGTGCCATGTACAATGCTGCGCTTTATGCAAACACACACACACACATCTTATTTCATGTTCGTAGGCTGTCACTAGTAGAGATTATTGTTCTCCCCATTTGGTAGACAGTTCTTTAGATAAACTTTGGTCTGAGGCTTAGGGAGGTTCAGTAACTTGCCCAAGCAGCTTGTCCGGAGCAAAGGCAGGATTTGAATCCAGGCCTAACAGATGCCTTTAACCAGTAAGCCCATGCGCATCTTGCGTCAGCCCAAGACGCTGCAGGATTTATGGAGGCGTTTCCTCAAAGCTGTCAGTGGGGTGATTTTTCTCCTCTGATCCTTACCAGTGGCCTCTGCACTCTGCTCAGGCCACACATGCCATCTCGCCCTCCCTCCCCGCCTTCACTCCAATGGGCAGCTGAGCCCCTGGCAGCCCTGCCTCTGTCCACAGCTGGAAGGTTGCCCAGCTGGGCTGCTGACCCAGGGCAGCACAGCAGGGAGGGCGAGGGGGCTGGGCCGCCTGGCACACTAGGCTAGAACTTGGGCAGCAAGGAAGATCCGGTGGACTAGGGCATGTTAGCTTTGGGCCCTCCATTTTGCCCTCCCACGCTGGCTAGCCTGGGCCCTTCGTGACAACTAAAGTGCTTCGTGTGCTGTCACGCCCCAGCGGATGACCATCTGTGGCCTCTGGATCCCAGAACAGTTGCTCTCAGGCCGTGCTATCTGCTTTTGGACAGGTAGGCCATCTCCAGACCCTCTGTCTAAGGATGGATGAGTCACAGGCCTGGAGTGTCTGAGAGGGAATGAGAGGGAAGAGGAGTGGAAGGAAGCCCCGAAGCCCAGCCTGTCACACTTGCGGACTGACGAGGAAACCGAGGCGCAGGGAGTCGAGCATGCTGGGGTTCTTCCCTCCGCCCAGTCTTGCTCCCCTGCCTCTGATGTGAACGGCTAGAGCAGGAGAGCTCTTAGCAATCGCCTGCTCCTCAAGGAACAGAAAGGAAACACGCAGCCTCAGCAAGTTAAGTCAGCAAGTCCGTGGCAGGCTCGGGGGGAATGCGAGGCAGTGAAATCGCTTTGTGATTGAAAAGCTAATTTCTCTGAGTGGGGGTGGCCTTCAGGTGGGTCGTGCCAAGGACTCTGCTGCTCCTGGGGAACAGGGACTTTAGTCGAAGAGGCATCTGGACTCGTTTCGAGTGCGAAAGCTTCCCCCAGCTGGCGTCGTGATGGCCTCCCGGAAGTCTCTGAGTGCTTGAGGAGCATCCTGCTGGGGTGTCAGATTGGGAGCAGGGGAACGCCAGGTACCTCTGGAGAACGCTGCTGCCCAGGGGTCCCGGGGTGCAGTCGTAGGGGCTGCACCCGGACATTCGATATTTATTTCCGTGCATAAACGCAATCCATGTTGATTGTGATAAACACAAGAAAGAATAAAGATGATAGAATCACCAGTAATTCTACCACCTACAGAGAACTACAGCTAACATTTTGGTGTTCCAGAAAA